GGAGGAGCAGAGAGAGAAAGAGGGAGACACAGAATCTGAAACAGGCTCCAGGCTCCGAGCTGTCAGCACAGAGTCCCACGTGTGGCTCGAACCCACACGTGGTGAGATCGTGACCTGAGCCAAAGTTCAATGCTTAACTGACTGAGCCACCCAGGTGCCACCTAGGTTGGTTATTTTTAAAAAACAGAAGACTCATGGGGCGCCTGGGTGGCGCAGTCGGTTAAGCGTCCGACTTCAGCCAGGTCACGATCTCGCGGTCCGTGAGTTCGAGCCCCGTGTCGGGCTCTGGGCTGATGGCTCAGAGCCTGGAGCCTGTTTCCGATTCTGTGTCTCCCTCTCTCTCTGCCCCTCCCCCGTTCATGCTCTGTCTCTCTCTGTCCCAAAAATAAATAAAAAAAAAAAACGTTGAAAAAAAAAAAACAGAAGACTCAAGGAGTTTTTCTTTTTTTGCCTCCCTTGTAACCACCTAAAAGAATTTAGATAGAGGACCTATTCCAGGAAGGGAGATATCACTATAGATACCTATAGTGTAACATGAAGTAGGTATGCTAGACAGGGAGGAAACTAGCAATACCCCTTTGACCTAAATTGTCTCTATGTCCCATTGTTTCTGTATGGCCCAACAAACATATTTACCCAACATTTACTCTTTCTATTCTTTTTGTGAATTGCATTCCTTCCCTTCAAGCCTCAGGCCCCTACCCTCTTCTCCTTAAGCCATAATGACATATATACCTCATTTCTCCTTTCTTTGTAATCTCATTTTTATGTGGTTTCCCCCATATATACGTAATTAAATTTCATTTTTCCTATTAAACTATCTCATGTCAATTTAATTCTTAGACCAGCTAAAAGAACTTGAAGTGTAGAAGAAAAATTTTCCTCTCCAACATAAGCCACACCATCTGTCACAAGACTATTTGTTGAATGAAAGGTAATCACAAGAATGTTTATTGAATGAAAGGTAAATAGCCACAGAGCCTTTTGTTGATATCTTGACAAATGAAATAATTAGTATAACAGTGACTTATTAGTCCTCCTACAGGAAAGTGTGCTAAGAAACTACAAAAAATTTACATCACATATGCCAATATTTTCTACCTAAAAAAAGATATAGCACACTTAAATGTATAATTCCTGAAAAGAATTAATAAATATAATTCTGACTTACATGAGTACAACTTCTTTTTTTTTTTCAGTTTATTTATTTACTTTGAGAGACAGAAAGAGTGAGTGGGGGAGGGGCAGAGAGAGAGAATCCCAGGCACTGCTATCAGTGCAGAGCCCAATGCAGGGCTGGAACTCACCAACTGTGAGATCATGACCCAAGACAAAATCGAAAGTCAGATACTTAACCGACTGAGCCACCCAGGTGCTCCACATGGGTACAACTTCTAAGAAACTTCAGGGAATATATCATCCTCAACCAGGATATTCGCTTTTTGGAAAGAAAGATAGATCTTTCCCCCAAAAGACCAAATTACTATTTTTTTATGAAAAGTCAGCTAAATGCTAACCAGATATTAAGGCTTCTAAATGTTTACATCCTTCTAGACCAAATGTTCCCCCATTTTTGTCTTAAAGGGGCAGATAGTAAATATTTTTGCCTTGCAAAAATATGGTCTCTGTCACAACTATTCATAGTTGTGCAAAAGGCTGCCAATATGTCAACAAATGGATATGGCTGGGGTCCAATTAAATGTATTTACAAAAACAGGCAGAGAGCCAGATTTAGCCGTAGGCCATAATTTGCTGGCCTTTCCTCTAGAACTCAGTTACTGCAAAATAAAGTGTGAGAGGAGCAGGAAACATCCCCGACCCTATTTTCCCACACGAATCAGAGTTCAGCCTTCTTGTTTTCAAGAACTGCTTTCTAAATAGCACCTCAGGCAAGCAGACAAGGATCTCTCCTTTGTCTTCCTTGTTCGTATTCCTGATTGTTCCACAGACTCAGCGGAAGAAGTGAAGATGCAGAGGACATTTTCAGAGAAATCTTCTGCAATATGTGACTCAATCTCACTTCAAAGGGATCCTCTTCTGGCCCAGAAAGTCATTTTAAACTGAAGCACCACTTCTTATCCCAAAGGAAATCAAGTACCAGAGGGTCTTATCCTGCCATCTTGTGGCAGATTGGAGTATGGAAAGGGAAATGGTTGCACAGGCGGAATGCCTACTTTGTAACAGGCACTCTACTCTGTTCATGTGCTGGATGCAGGAGCTATATAGGCAGCCAAAAAAGCCACAATCCGTTGTCCTCAAGGAGCTTACAATCTATAGGACAGGAGGTATTAATCAAAAAAAATTCTCACAAACACACGTAAAGTGGTCTGAAGGAGCTTACATGATCTGAAAATGAATATAAGGGACTCAACCTGGACACAGAAGGTGGAGAAAGCTTCCCTGAAGATGAGATGATTATCATGAGGCCTGGATATGGGCAGGGATGTTTCAGGTGAGAAACTGAGGGAAGTTGATTTCAGAGAAAGGGAACAGTGGCCATAAAAACTCTGCAGTAGGAGGAAAGCAAGGGGGGGCTCTGGCATGAGATAAGGCCAGGGAGGTAAAGACAGGATTGTGCAGAGCCTCAGAAACCAGGAAAATAAGGGAGTTTTCTTTATCGTATAAGCAGAGTGAAACCATAAGATGGTTTAAAGCAAGGAGGAGACACAAAATCAGATCTACATTTCAAAAAGACTGAACTGTGTATCAGTCAGGGTCCAGTCAGGACACAGAAACTACACAGTAATTTGAACAGGGAAAGTTTAAATCAAGAATGACTAACTCTTTAACAGGAGATTGAAGTAATGAGGGACTGGTCTACAAGATAGAAGCAAAATTCTAAAAAATATACACATATCACATATAAGGAGCAGCCACTCCCCAAGAAAGGGCCTCCCACTCCCAGGGCTGAGACCCAGACCTTATTGGAGAGGAAACCTCCATGGCCCCCTGGTTGGCAGAGAAGTCACAGTGTTGCAACTTGCTGCAAATGCCCCCTCTAGGGTGCCAGGGGAAGCCCTTCAAAGGGAGGTAACCCTCTGGAGGCACTCCACTAGGAAACCACGTAAGGGGAGCATCCACAAGAAGTTTCTGACTGCTGGGTGCTGCTGGCCACAGTGCACTGCAGAAGCTGGGCACTGAAAATCCATGCACACTGCAGGAGCCTGCATGGAGCAGTACGTCCCAACTAGGAAAGAAAACCCCTTCCTCCTCCAGTGTCTCTCCAGTGCCCTCTACTGACAAAGGTTAGCATTGTGCCTTCTGGCAAAGGAAAATTATTTAAAGGCCCCAGCAGAGCAGGCAGTTTGAAGCCAGCACCCATCTTGTTAATGTGGATGAAAAAACACAAGAGGTTATATCGTCCCCAGGCATGGCCAGAAAGGACACAGACCCAGGCCCAAGAGACATACAAGTAGTTGGTAGAGTGCTGACAGGCAGCTAATCAGCACTATCCTGAACACATAAGCACCAGATGCACCTAATGAAATCTCAAACAATATTTTTCAGAGTCCAAGTCTCTTGAGACAGAACAGGCCTCCGTGGGACTGGAAGTAACTAAGTAACATCTATTAACATGACTCTATGGGACCTTCAATCAACAACATCCACCTTCTCAGGAGACCCCTGCCTCAAATTTTGCCCTTAAAAATCCTCACTTCTGGGGCACCTGGGTGGCTCAGTCAGTTGAGCTTCTGACTTTGGCTCAGGCACTGATCTCACAGATTGTGAGTTTGAGCCCCATGTTGGGCTCTCTGCTATCAGGGTGGAGCCTGCTTCAGATCCTCTGCCCCCCTTTCTATCAAAAAATATTTTTTTTAAAGAAGGGAAAAAAAAACCCTCACTTGTAAGCCACTGGGGAGTTCAGGACTTTGATCATTAATTCCTCATTCTCCACGCCAATAAATAGCCTATCTTTCTTCACTCCAAAAGCTCGGTGTCAGTCTTTTATTGGCTCGCTGTTCATGGAACTGACAAACTCTCATTTGGTTCAGTTTCAAATGTACAATGGATTTGAAGCTGAGATTGGTCTCTATGTGGAGAGCCTCCTGAGAGAGGAGCAAATAGGCCAGTTAGGAGGTACTAAGTAGTCCAGGAGAGAGAGGAGGACATGATATTAACCTATAAGGTGCTGGACAGTATACATTAGTAAGTTCCACCGTGGATTACAGAAAAGACACCAAATAGCATGGTTTATGTCGCTGTGCTCACTGGATTTGCATACATGCTGCCTTGGAAGGCGTAGCTAAGAAAGCAAAGAGGGTCAGCTGTCATGGGTCCTTAGATAAGAAATTGATAGTATCAGCTGCACTGAAGCACAGGAGAGCTTCATAAGGCACAGGAGTGGTATTGCTCCCAAGAGACATTACCTACACACCAGGTGCAATCAAAACTACATCTAATCCATGCAAACACTACCACAGTCAGGCTTGCAAAAGCAGGCCCTTGGGTCTAAAAAGTTACTAGAGAAAAATGAGCACAATTTGTAACAAAACATCATTCCTATTTTTAAAAAGCTTTTAAATGAATGACTTTTTTTTTTTTTTTTAACAGCCAGCAAGTCTGGCCTTCATACAGGCTTTCAATTCACCCACTGTCTCAAGATCATCAGGGGGGCAGGGTCCAGGTGAAGGGGGCAAAGTGCCATAGCTTATCTGTAAGGAGTCATCCCTCATTCCTCCAAAGCATTAATGTCACCAGCTGGTAGATCTTGAATACTGCCTGAGAAGCCAGGGTTTGAAGTAAATTTGTAAACAACCAAAATTTACTAAACACAAAAACAAATAGAAGTTATAATGGCTCCTTCTGCGTAGTGGAACTAAGGGTGGGGAGAGGAGGGGGGGCAGTGATTTTTTTAAATACACCCTTTTATGTGGTTTGATATTCTTTTAACCAGCCCTGAAATAAAGGTGGAGAGAAGCATTCAAATGAGTAAAGTCATTATATCATTACAACACTGGACTGGAATTTTAATTACTCAAAGATTACTCTTGGGTCTGAAAGTGATTCAAGGACTTTTTATTATCTGAGAGTGGCTGAAAAAGATATAGGACATGGCTGAGATGCTCTGTGGGGAAAGAACACAGTGTCCCTCTGCTAGCACTTCTTTGATCTCAGCTCTCTCAATATAAAGGCATCCACAGCAAGCGCGCCAAAAAAAGAACTGTTTAGAATTGAGCTCTGCTATTAAGGAGGGCCCTCGTTGTGATCAGCACGGGGTGTTGTATTTAAGTGATAACGAATCACTAAATTCTACACATGAAACTAAAACGAGTATTATGCTGTATGTTAACCAGAATTTAAATTAAAACTTGGGAGAAAAAAAAAAGAATTGAGCTCTGCTTGTTCAGTGGAACTAAGATTTGGACAAGTCTGAATCTAGGCTTGGTTTCTGAGATAGAGTTTAACAAGCTCCTTTATTCCATGAAAGTTTTCCTTGCTTCCTGCAGACGGAGTGTGATAATGCTGTCTCATCAAAACAAAACTCTTGTTTTGGTGGCATTAATCAATATACAAAAATCTCTGGAGGCACGAATCAGTAGTGAAACAGATCATCCTGGTGGTTGAGTTTGCAAAGGAGGACTTGGCTAAAAACCTTGAATCCATCATCATGCCCATAAAGAAGATATAAAAGGGTAAGGATACAGTTTGGAAGAGGAGTTGGAGGATGTCTTCGGAGAACGCTGCTGATCTTCCAACCAAAGGTGGTGGGTATGAGAGGCCTGCCTCTAACTTCAAGGCTAGACCTCCCCAGGATCCGCCAGCAAGCCTGCAGTGAGGAGCCACAGTGGACTGCCGTCTGACTCCCATCTAGGAAATATGGAGAATGGTGCCTTCCAGGTGTGGCAAATTATCAGGGCTGATTCTTTTATTTGTGGAGCACTTTCAGAGATTCCTCCTGCAAAGCCTCTCCTCCAGCAAGCCACTCAACATCTGCATCTAGCAGTACAACTGCAGCCCCTTCTGCTGAGGTCCCCTCACCTTGGAGAAAGGCCCTTTAGGAGAGTTCCTCTCCAAGTGACCACCACGCCAGCTCCCTACCACAGACCCACCTCGCACAGACAGAACTCATTCATTATTGCCCTCCTCTCGTAACTGCAACTTGTTCCTAAATCTAATTCCACCCATGGGAAAGTAACGGCATTTGCTCCACCTCCAAAGCTTTGAAGTAAAAGCCTGGCTGCCAGCCATAATTAACGGTTCAAGAAAAAAATATTAGTACTTAGACCATAAACAGACCAACACACACACTCTAAATTTCTGGGTTGCATGGGTGGGACCGCAAAATATTCCACCACATGTACATAACTATATTTTAAATGATGAATTGCCTATTGGTAGACTGTTAGATCGCCATCAATTTTTTTTTATTAACACAATTCCTACAAATCAAACTGCGGGGTCACGTGGGGCTCCAGTCAGGCGCACCACCCAGATTCTGATTCTCCGGAGACAAACGCCAGGTCCCTGCGGCCTCGGCACTGCGCACTCTCCGTCGCTCCCGCAACGCGCATGCGTCACTCAGTCCCGTTTTCTGCAACCATCTTTCCGGGTCGTGTTGCCCTCTTCGGAAAATACAGCCTTTCCTCCTTGTGGAAGTTGCCTCAAGATAGCTAAGGGTGGCTTCCGGAATAAACTCCATCCTAGAGAGCACGCCCCTCCACGAACCACCTGCCCCAAAGCGTGTGCTTACCGGCCTGCTTGGGGGACTGGGCAGCGCTCCAAGGAGGCAGGAAGCCTATCAGAACCGAGCCCCCGCCCCCTTCGCACCACCTGCTCCAGACTGGTAGGGTGGTATTCTTGAAGATTTGTTGTGAGGGTTAAATTATTAAAACTTCCTGATGCTTAAAGAGCATAGATAATTTGTAGCTACTATTAACTGCCTCCATGTCTACTCATTTTCCTTCCGGTGTTAGTAGTAATTTGGCTTCACTTCGCCAAGATTAATCTTGTGTGTTCAATCATGTATCACTTTCTCAAGAACTTATTAGTTCTCATTCCTATGGCCTCCACTTTATACTTTTCTAACTGGACTTTCTCCTTCAGCCCATCTCCGGAATCATTTATACACAAATATCCTCCTGTTGTCTTGGATCCTCAATGCTATCTCGTTCTTCCTAACTCATGAAAACTGTAAAAAGGTTACCACATCCATTTCTTCATCCCCCCCACCCCATTTACTTCACTGGAATCTGGCTCCACTAAAACTATCCCCAGCAAGTGACATTAGATCTAGTGAACGAACACTTACATGCTATACTATCTACACCTGACACATCTATGCCTGTAATCCCTGTAAACCCCTCTGCACACCCACTGGTATTCCTAATGCTCACACTCATTTTCCTACCTCTCTGATCACTCTTTATCTGCCACAAGTTTGTCTCATTTGTCCTGTCTCCCTCTGTTGGTTCCCAGGCCACCCTAGTCCTGTTTCTTTCACTCTCCGTTCATAGGCAAGCTTTTTCATGTCGTTTTGGAGTGCCAGTGACCCCAAGTCTACATACACCTCTAGCCTAGACCTTTCTTCTGAGCTTCAGACTCTTGGTTATCCCACAGGAACGTCGGACTTAACACCTCTAAAACTTACCTTTTCCAGCAAACCTGCTTCAGTTCCTGTACATTATCACCTTCCTGTGCTCATCTCAGTGGATGGCATCATGTGCTGTCTCAAAACAGAAATTGAGGAGCTACCTTAGGATCCTCCCTCTCCGTCGCCCACAGTTCTCAGTCTGTTCCCTGGGAAACAGACTCTTGAGACTTGTGTGCAGGTGGTTTATTGGGGGGAGAGGGAGGAGACAAGCTCTCAGGAACAGCATGTGAGGCCTGAGGGAGGAAAGGTGAAGTGGGAGGGGGTTGAACAGTTGATGCAGTTCAAACAGTGGCCTCAGTCAATCCTACCACGACCTGGAATGGCCCTTCACTGAGGCAGTGAGTGGAGCATATGCCCCCCAATTAACCTGTCACTGCAAGTGACCTGCTTTCAGAAAGGGGTGTGACCTTAGGTAAGGTGGCTCTCTTTCCTGTGGGCAATTCCTATAGAGGGTCTAGGATGAGAAGCATTGGCCATCAAAACTCCTAGCATGTGGGGCACCTGGGTGGTTCAGTCTTAAGCGTTTGACTCTTGGTTTTGGTTCAAGTCATGATCTCACCATTCATGGGACTGAGCCCCGCGTCGGGCTCTGCACTGACAGCACGGAGCCTGCTTGGGATTCTCTCTCTCTCCCTCTCTCAGGCCCTCCCTCACTCACATGCACATGGGTGTGCTTTCTCTCTCTCAAAAGTAAACATTTTTTAAAAAACTCTCAGCATCTGGAGGGATGAGTAGTCTACAAGAGGAAAACTGGGCATCACACCACAGTACCCACTACATCCCCATACTCCATTGGTTACCAAGTGTTTTACTGATTTCTATATTTTAATTTAAAATAAGATCCCTCATCCTTCAGACTAGTCTCTTCACTATTCAAAAAATATGAGTCTAAATTTTTTTAATTAAAAAAAAAATTTTTAACGTTTAATTTTGAGAGACAGAGCGTGAGCAAGGGAGGAGCAGAAAGGGAGACACAGAATCCGAAGCAGGCTCCAGGCTCTAAGCTGTCAGCACAGAGCCCATCGCGGGGCTTGAACTCACAGACTGTGAGATCATGACCTGAGCCAAAGTTGGATGCTTAACCAACTGAACTACCCAGGCTCCCCCCAAAAATAGGAGTCTAAATGCACCAAGCACTGTGGCAGGAACAAAGTAATGGGTGAAATAGACATAGTTCTTGCTTCCAAGATACTTACAGTCTAGTTGGGAAGTGAATAATCATCCAAATATATACTTTAAAACTATGGTAAGTGTTCTGAAGGAAAATTAAAAGTGCAGAATGCTATGAGATCTTACCAAGAAGGGAGGCTTGCCCAGCAGAGTGAGGGTGGGGGTGGGGTGGGGGTGGAGGCAGGGAAAGTTTCCCCACAGAAGTGTCAGAGACAAGGGGCGCCTCGGTGGCTCAGTCTGTTAAGCGTCTGACTTCAGCTCAGGTCATGATTTCACAGTTTGTGAGTTCAAGCCCTGCATTGGGCTCTGTGCCAACAGCTCAGAGCCTGGAGCCTGCTTCAGATTCTGTGTCTCCTTCTCTCTCTGCCCCTCCCCACTCACACTCTGTATCTCTCTGTCTCTCAAAAATAAATAAACATTAAAATAAAAAAAATTTTTTTAAGTGTCAAAGATGAGTGGGCATTAACTAGGTGTGAGCTTGGTTGTGAGGCTGGGGTGGGAGTAGAACAGTGTGGACAAGGTAACAAAATTGCAAAGTCTTGTGACAGATGAAACAAGGAGCTGGAGGACCCAAAAGGCCAGCAAATCTGGAATGCAGAAACTGAGAGGGAGGAGCAGTAAGAGACGAAAATGAAGAGGCAGGCAGCAGCCAGGGGATGCAGAGCTAAATATTTGGGTCTTTTTTCCTAAAAGTAATGAAAGCCACTAAACAGTTTTAATCTCTGTCAGGCATAAATGATATACCTCAAACAGAATATTCAACTACCCCAATCGATGTAGATAAAATGGATCATATAAATATACAAAATGGCTAAAACCTAAATTCTGTTAATGCTAAGTGGTGGGGGCAAAATATATCTATATATTCAAAGCAGGTGGTATTACTACAACAACCTGCTTCTCTACCTCTAATGCCTACCTGTGGTTCCTGTGAACAGTAACACTTAGCTCTTATTGACTGCATACTAAATGCTAGTGTGTTAAGTGCTTTACATAAATTAAATGACTTAATAAAACATCTTTGCAAAGTGGGCACTATTTCGACACTGAGATACAGAGAGTGCAACCTGTAAAAGTTCTCGCAGGCAGTAAATGGCAGAATAAGACATGAAGCCAGACGTCCAATTATAAAGCTAAAGCTTGAACTAATACACCAAAATATCCCGCCTAAGCTTTGGTAACACCCAATCTCACCTGACTTGGGTTTTTTCACACTGTCTTGGACTTTCTCCCATCGTGCCCAATTCATGAGATCACACCTGTTTTGTAAATTGATTGTCAACCAAACTCCATACAATAAACCACAGGCCACCCCTAGAACCAGAGCATTGATTCCATTGGTTCTGGCTCATTCTCTCCTCACCATCCCAAGATTTTGATGTCCCAGTCATCTGGTAGCTAAACCCAACAGTTTTTTAAAAATATTTGCTAGAAAAATACAAACTTACCTGAATATGAGCCAAAGAGAAACAAGGAGGCAAATCAGTCTTCTCCTAATAATTGTTTTATTATCCTGCTTTTGATTTTCTACCCTCTATTCCTAATCAGGAGCTAGGATGTTCCAAATTGTAGGTTTATAAAGTTAGGAAAGTACCCACTAGATGTCAGCCTTGAGCTGCAATGGGGTTTACTGGGACGTGGCCAGGGAGGTAAGCTGTTATGGAGAGAGCAAGAAATGGAAAAAAAAAGGTTTAGAGTTTGGGGGATTTCTTTTGTACTGTAAACTAATACTGGAATTGTAGTTAGCTCTTTGTACCAACACAGTAGTTTGATTTCTCAACAAGTATAATTAGGCCAATACGTTAGATGATGTCACTTCTCTGCTCAACAATCTCCAACTGTTCCCTTCTCATTCAGAGTAAAAACTGAACTCCTTACCACAGCCTATTAATACCCGACTCTACCATCCCCATTCTCACCCACTTCAGCCACACTCTCCCCTGAACACACCTGGACACTGTGGCCATCTTCTCAAGAGAGGTCCTCCTGGACACCTTTTTAAAATGGCACCCAGCCTGCACCACACCACCCATAGTGACTTATTTTTCGTCTAATACTTATCACCACCTGACACACTACATTTACTTACTGTCAGTGTCTCTCTGGGACAGACTTCCAAGAGTCATTTGTTTTCATTCAGTGAATGCTTATTAAAAACCTAATATAAAGAAGGCACTGAATTATGGGAAGTATGAGAGACATTATCTTATTGATGAGAAGCACAGTCTCTTGCTCTTAACTCATATAACATCTCAGAGAGAATGCATGCACAATATTTTAAAAGGTTTTACAAAAAGAACTATTTGACAATCATGGCTGCCCACTGTGGAAAACTATGGGAACAACAAAAACGTGATGCATGCATTCACCTCTAGGTCTATTTACTACCCTGCCTCCAAATAGAAGATTGTTCAATTCTTAAACCCTCCTTGGAAGATGTTTTCTGCAGAGTAGGAGCCTTTCTTCGTGGGTAACCCATTCCCATCCCCTGCATTTGAAACCCATTTATTTTGGTTTGTCCTCAATGCAAATGAAAACCACCCAGTTACCTTTCTCCAGATTATTCAATATGCACTATTTAAAGGTGTTCTTTGCTTTGATCTTTAATTCGAAGCTGGGTTGTATTTTTGCCCAGAAGACTCAATTAAGTTTCATTATCTCCATGTCCATTCTCCCATTCCTATACCTCATGCCCCTGGGGAAAAAGTAACCATTGTCCTTTCTGCGAAAGAAAAACAAAAAGTGAAAGTCAAGAAAAATAATCCACCATATGCATATGGCCTGGGTTCCACCAAACTACTAGGAGTAAATTCAGGCTCCTCTGGACCCAAATCAATTATTTAGCCTCTTTCCAACCCCTCCACCCTCACAGACACTGTCATTCTAATGGAAGGAAGGAAGGAAGGAAGGAAGGAAGGAAGGAAGGAAGGAAGGAAGGAAGGAAATAAATAAATAAGGGAGGGGGGAGGGAGATGTTTGAGCAGATTATCACTAGAAGATGATTTTTTAAGAATATGGAAGAATGACTAGTAAATTTTAAACAGCTTTACTCTCCAACACAGATTTGTCTGTAATGCTGCTGATGTTTAATATAAGAACATGTATGAGTTCCAAAAGAGAACATTTTGGTGCACTTTCCTTGGATCTACAACCTATGACCTATTTGGATATTTTCTCTCCTTTTAAAGAAAATTTAGTCTTATTTCTTTAAAGTAGAGAAGCATATGACTGTTTCCCTCTGAAATCTTTTCCGTTGCTTTGAAGTACAGCCAAACATATCCCATGCATAATCCTGTTAATTTATTTCTTCTCCTTATGGAAACATTCCAAATAAATGTGGCCACTTGAAAGGTGTTAATACAATTAAAATGACAAACTCATTTCAATGGATTTTATTTTACTTTAAAACAAGATATTTACATCACCAGTTTGTTGAGAATTTAAAGCTTATTTAGATAAAAGGCCTAATGAGACTCTGCTAAGTTATATTATTAGCCCTTAAGATTTTAAGGATAATTTGGCTGCTTTATAACATTATGCTGTAGACAAACTTCAGCCAGGAGTTGGACTCACAGCAAGAAATTGAACCAAACTCCCCAGACTGTGGTGCTCATTGTAGTTCTAAATCTAAGCTTAGGACAATATTTATTGTCTCTCCTATTTTAAAGTGAATTATATCAGGAAGGTTTGGAAACTAGCCAATGTTTGAGGGTAGGGAATTTCTGCTCTCACAAAGGTAATGGTCAGACTGATCAGAACAAATTGTTCTTGAGACGAGAGTCCAAGAATTGTTCGGAAAAATAGCTTAATTTAGAAGTCAACCAACTTCTTTACCCACCCCTTCCTTCAAAGTCCAACTGCCCCAATTTTCTCATAAAAATACACAATTTCACTCATCTGTACTTTATCTGACAACTGTGTTCCTCCAGCCCTCTCCTCCTGTGGGCTGAGTTCTATAATATCCTACCCTCCTATCCTCCACTTGGTTCTACCAAGGAGATGAGCACCTCAATTCAGTGTGTCCAAATTAGGCCTCCAAGGAGTAGTAACTACCTTCACTGGGCTCTTTAACTCTGCACATTAGGCCCCAATAGCACAAACCAGGCTGTGTGGCTCCTAGCCCAGGAGCTCCAATCTCTCTGCCTCCAGTCTCCTTGCTATCTGCTCACCTGAGGAGAGGTCTTCCATTTCCACTGCTCCCTCTGGGTAAGCATGTGAGGCAGGCCTGTGGGCTTCACTACTAGCTGATACAATGAACTCTGCTTCTACTCCACAAACCTTGCTGCTCTCTCCCACTGCCACTCTAGAGCAGGCAGGGAGACGGGAGAGCCTATCTCCTGTCTTAGGTCTAAGCCTATTTTCCAACAGAATTTACCAGATGTTCTACATTTGGGAGATTTACTGGACCTCTGC